CCCGCCCCCTCTTCTTCTTCCTTACCTTTGGGGGATGATGAATGCGATAACATATCTGGACCCCGAATCTTTCGGCATTTAAATATATATATAAATATGTAGCAAATAGAACAATAGTGGGCACGATCTGTCCCTCAGTAAAGTTTATTCCTGGTTGACAATCTGTAGAAACCAATTTATCTTCTTCTTTAAGTAAATTTTGCTTTAACTGCTGTTAATTCAGCCTCATGCTTTTGACTCTCAAGTTTGATGCTGCTATCGAGTTCTACATCTTCCCCAGTCGTCGGAGGCCAGAATATGCTTTCTTTGAGCAAATTAGGCGACTTGTTCAACTTGTTCCGGTACCGTCTGCCGGACAGTTGGAGTACGCACTGGCCAAGAACTACAGTCGCGGTTCAGCCTTCAATGAAGATATATTTGGGGAGGACTGTCTGATTTCCGATGAAGAAGGTCAGTTCATCTATCCCTTAGTTTGCTTATCGAAGTGCAGGATCGATACTTCTCAGCACTCGCTTAACAAAACATATTGACATTTTTTACACAGGTATGACTGAGACCTTTTTAGGTTCCACCCCAGTAGGAGTCCAAAAACGCTAGTGAATAGGGCTCTATCAGTCTGAGAGCAAAAAACAAGCATGCACACGTACTTCTATCGCATTAGGCTAAAGTTAATAGGAAGGACCCTTGCCCTGGCTTTTTGAACACCGCAATAAGTCAAAGACACTTCAGCCTTCCTATGGTAGGAAGGGCATTTACCGTATCCGCGCTGTGTTGGCCTTATCGCAATGGAAGATCCCTGCCACTGCGAGCTTCAGGCGCGGTTCCTTGTGTGAGAAAGTAATTTAAACGCCAGATATAAGGAATAGTTAATTCTGTATAGAAAAATAAGTATGAAGACGTTGACCCTCGGACGAGTGCATTCCAGCCGCGAGGGGGTCGGGCCCGAAGTGGGTGAGCCTGGCAGCCATCGCAGAGAGTCCTAGTGTGAGTAAACCTTGTAGGAGATTAGCCAGACAGGATTATACAGACATCAGTGCAAGTGCACGCGTTGGTATCAGTGACCGTTCGCGCGTGAGCATCCGCGCGGAGTGGAGTCACTACCAGTGCTTGCTTCCCGGACCACAGTTCGGGTTACAAAATCCGAACGTAGGAATAATAATTAAGTTAGTAAATTAGATAGGTACCGACGGTACCTTCAGCTAGCATGAGTGAGTTGGGTTAAAGGGGTGGCTGGGGAAACATGGTTTTTTGAGTTGTACGTTGATGGTAAATCGGTATGCCGTGTCAGTATTGGTTGAGTTGAGTGAGAAGAGATACCATTAGCAGTAGAAGTGGGTTTGGATGCTGGGAAGCAGGTCTGAGTGCTAGTACTCATAGAGGGGCTGTTCCGCTAGATTGGGAAGGAACCGCGGCCCGGGCTCTATGGGCTGAGAGTGGTTGCTGATCTCCATATCGATTCACGATAGGATGTCGGTGAATAAATTTTCCATATTGTGGCCACATTACGTGAGACAGGAATATTCAGTAGAAGCCAAAAGAGGTTTGTTAATGATTGAGTTCAGCCACATCTAGAAGTTGTGTATGCAGATCAGCTCCGGTTCACCAATATCGCAGTGGCATAAGTTAATGGGGAAGATCCTTGCCACTGCGATCTTCAGGCCCGGTACCCTGTGGAAAAAGAAGTGCTAATACAGGCGAACATGCGAGTCCCAGGAAGTAATTGAGAAGTAGAAGATGACTCGATCGCTGGGACAATATATTTATTCGCCTCACGTTTCGAAATCCGTCGCGGATTCATCTTCAGGGACATACTCACAGAACAGTAGCAGAACCAGTTTGTGTGTGTGCACAGGGTTCCGCCGTTAAATTTAAACGTACAGAAAAAA